AATAAAATCATTTGTAAACCGGGCATTCATACACTCTTCCGATATTGAAAATCGCAATGCCTGAATTAAAAAGAGTCACCAACCTGCTTGTAAACAATGGATATAAGACTTATTCTATTGAAAAGGTTGTTAAGGGCAAATTACTTCACAACAATAATTTTCCTAATACCAACAATCAAGATAACGACATCATCTTACAGAAATCCCACGTCAACTGCATACAAAGCAGATGAAACTATTCTTAAACATATCATCAATAAAAATGTCACACCAACCAACCAATTAGTAAAGTTAAAATCCGAATTTATTACAACAACAAAAAAAAACGTCTCACCTAATACTGAAAAACAATTGTTGTCATAGAAATAACTTTGTTAAAGCGTAATCACGACATATATGAATTTAATTGCCCCTTTGACGGCTGTGCACGTCAACATGACTCATATATCGGGATTACTACTACTTCACTGACTAGAAGGCTTACGATGCATAAACAGAGTGGTGCTATCAAATCTCATTTGGACTCAACACACTCAATAACTATAAGCCGTGAAATCCTCGACAGCCACATCAAAGTAATATACCAGAACACTAACTACACGCGTTTTAAAATTGCAGAAGCAGTCCTAATTGACATCAACAAACCAAAAATAAATATACAACAAAAAATGACAACTTCACTCCCAACCCGGCGCTTAATCAACAATGAAAACAAAGAAGTAATAAAAACTAGCATTGTAAATAATGACAAAGAATATGATGCTATCGATGAAGAAAAGGAAACCAACGAAGATGGACCAGCCATAAAGAAATCTGATACCTAATTTCCATCTAAGTTCATTTTCACAAAGTAAATAGATGGACCAGCCAATAAAGATGGACCAGCCAATAAAGAAATCTGACACCTAATTTCCATCTAAGTTCATTTTCACAAAATAAATATTTCCCTATATAAATCAACTTGCACTGATGATGATGATTCATTTGGAATCGAAATATGGCCTTATTTGCAGAATGAATTCGGAAAATAAATTTATTTTGAATTTTAGGAAACTAAATCGCAAAATTTGAACGAAATCGCAAAGGGTTTTAAATCAAACCCCAAATTGTTTTGGAAAAAAGTGAAAAATGTTACGATTATCAAGGATAGGATTGGTTCTTTGCCGCATGATAGCATGTTGGTTTCGGATGACAAAGAAAGAGCTGAAAATTTAGCAGATTATTTTGCGTCTGTTTTTATAAAAGATTTGCCATTTACAGATGATGGTTTTTTTAATGGCCCTTTGCTTCCTGAAGGTGGTATGCAGGAGTTGATTTTTAATGAGATGATGGTAAAAGATAAACTTAAAAAAATCAATCGAAACAAGTCAACGAGTCCTGACGGGGTTCATCCTAGGATTTTGTTTGAATCAAGAGATAGGTTATCTAAGTTACTTGTTCAGCTGTTTAATTGGTCATTAAATACGGGTGACATTTCAAGTGGTTGGAAGACAGCTCTGGTGGTACCATTACATAAAAAAGGTAATAAAAATTTGGCAACCAATTACAGACCAATTGCACTAACGCCAAAATGTTGCAAAATAATGGAATCAATTATAGCTGATCATATTAAAAATTATTTTTTTAAGTAACCATCTATTCACAGACAAACAATATGGGTTCCTCCCGTCTCGTTCAATCACATTACAGCTTTTGAAATTCGTTGATGAGGTAACGGCGTCATTGGAAGCAGGTTACAGATATTGTTTATACAGATTTGGAGAAAGCTTTTGATAAAATTTCCCGTTCTAGGCTGTTGTTCAAATTAAAAAAATATAAAGTTCAGAACAAGATAATAAAATGGATAGAAAGCTATCTTAGGGAAAGAACGTTTTGTGTTAGAGTAAATGACCAACTTTCAAGTGCTAAACCTGTTGCTAGTGTTGTTCCCCAAGGAGGAGTACTCAGTCCACTTTTATTTGTGATTTACGTCAACGACATTCACTCAATTAACATCAATATCTTTTTATATGTAAATGATGCAAAGATATTTGGTTCAATATCTGTTCCACAGGATGAGGCGGTGTTGCAAGGTTGTTTGGATAATGTAATGATGTAGTTCCACAGATGGAGTTTGAAGGTTAACGTCAGTAAATGCAGTTTGTTGACAATAGGCAGATGTTTGTCAAGGGAATATTTTATCACTGATTCAGATGTAGTTCAGGCCTTGCCAAGGGTGAAGAGTATATCTGACCTGGGTGTAGTAATGAATGATCGCATCCAATTCAAAGAGCATGTTTTGAGTCAAATAAAAAATCTAACTCCATGTTAGGAATACTATCAAGAAATTTTAGTTGCCTGTCTGACGAAGCTTTCATCTGTGTTTACAAGTCGTTGGTTCGCTCACGACTGGAATTTGCTGTTCAAGTTTGGTGTTCATATAGAAAAGGTCTAATAAATGAATTGGAAAAAGTTCAGAGAAGAGCTACCAAAATTCCAAAGTCCTATAAAAATCTGGAATACAGTTTGAGGTTGGTGAAATTAAACCTCCCTTCCCTTAATTACCGCAGAATCAGAGAAGATTTAATCCTGGTCTATAGAATGCTTAACGGCATGGTGGACCCTGCGATTTGCCCTCAGTTGTGCGGTAGGGCTAATGTCAACACCAGGGGTCATCAGCTCAGATTGTGTACTCGACTGGCCAGAAAAGATTGCAGGAAATATTTTTTCTCGAATCGAGTTGTTAGCCCATGGAATGTATTGCCAGAGGATATTGTTAAGGCTCAGTCATTGGCTATTTTAAAACTAAACTAGACTTATTTTATGGTGACGCAAAATATTCTATATTCTATATTTTAATTTTAGTTTGTCTTGTGCCTGATGTTTATTAATAAATTATTTGCAAATGTACATACCTGTAATAATCAATTTTTGGAATTTGCATTTTTTTCAAACATTGATAATTGTCTTAAACATTGACTCTTTAATTTTTATTGGAATTCGTTCTGATTTATTTTTGTTATGTTATTTCAGTTTTGGGCAAGGGACTTTGCCCAAGCCTTTCTTCTTCTTCTAATAATAAACGTTTTCCAAAAAACATTAGTGAGAAAAATTGAAAAAACGAACTACAAACATATTAACGCCAAACATTCGGTAGAATTAATAGAATATTGTAAAAATTATGGTCTATTACCAATATATATATATATATATATATATATATATATATATATATATATATATATATATATATATATACATATTTCATTAAATTTGTAGGCCCACACTGCGTTCAAAAGTTTTTTAATAAGAACTTCGACACCACGTAGTCTTTTTTGTATTCGTATTTATTCAAAACATCCATAAAATTTGTCAGCTGACAGCACTTTTTCAGCTATTTAGCCATCATCGGAGCTGAATATTATTGTGAATAATATTAAAATGTAAAAATCATTGAAATGAGATAAATTAGGAAGATATAAAATAATATTTAGATGAAATTGAATTATATATTGAATGTTGATAATAATAGTGTAATAATGTAAAGTACCTTTGAAATATGGTTAAACATAAAATTGAACATAAAATTAAGTAATTAAACATGTTTATAGTTAAACTTTAAATATCAACAATTTTTATAAGTTTTTAAAACTAATAGGACAGGTGTGTATAGAAAGGAGTTGGTATATAACGTTAATATTGCGTCTATATCGTGTTATAGCGTAAATATCGAAGAGAGTTAGTGTGTACAAATATTGTAGTACAATATATATCTGTATTGTAGTGCAATATATATCGTTCAAAAAACTTTGGAACGCAGAGTGGGCATACAAATTTAATGAAATATGCGATGCATCAACGAAGGCCTTGTCCCAAACTATATATATATATATATATATACATATTATTGGTAAACCATTACCCGCCATAGGCCAAACGTACGTTTCGTCTCTCACAAAACTCGTCAGTTGCCTGCCGAATAAGGTTTAAGATAACACAACTCAATTATTGTAACCATGAAACTCAAATTGAGGTGTCGCGACCAATAGGTAAGAACAACATCACGTTGTTACAAGGTTTAAGAATATTAATATAATATTAAGAACGTAATATTAAGGTTTAAGAACGTTAATATATATATATATATATATATATATATATATATATATATATATATATATATATATATATATGTTGGTATTATGGTAATAGACCATAATTTTTACAATATTCTTTATATTCTACCAAATGTTA